TTGTCAATATATCCTGCCAGAATTGAATCTATATATCTATGTGGATCAATCCCTGCACTTCCAAAACAAAGTGCTATGTTGATTGTTTCTCTCAATTATCTGATAATTCACTTTACCGTCTTCTAATGATGTTATTCTTCGATTGCTCACGTACTCAATGACCACTCTCACTACATTTGTAATAATGTTCTTGTATATATCATCACATATATCAAACTTCCAATAGCTGAAGAATAGGGGGTTCTTTTCATTTGTGCTTGCTCTGGTTCAAACTTTGGCGATTGTTTCTTAGATAGTCTAAAGTGATAGGCTAAAGGGGCGCAAATTGGTTTTGTCTCACTTATGTTGAATCTGTGTAGGATTTTCCCAACATATTTTATCTTAGACAACTTCAATGTACATGTATTCCTATCCCAGTTAGTTCTCTTACTGAAGATTTTCTTGGTTGGACCTAAATTTTTTATTTCAATTTTCTTTGATAATTGTTCTTTCAAGTCCTTGATCATTTTCACATTTGCTCCTGCAATCAGCATGTCATCCACATAAAAAAAACTCAATTTAACAATTAGTAAACTGTTTAATGAAACAACAATTTTCTGCTTGATATTTTGTGTATTAACTGTTTGACATGAATTTGTCAAATCCCATGTACCACAGCCTTGGTGCGAAATTCAGACCATAATGACTACTTCTGTCTACAAATCATGTCTTTTTTTTTCTTAGAACTTCATATCACTGTGGTTGCACTATACATATTTCTTCTAAATCACCATGTAAGATGGTCGGTATTTACATTCATCTACTCCAGATATAGATTTTTCTCTATTACTTTATTGAACACAACTCTGATAGTTATAATATTTACTACAGGAGAAAATATCTCAGTGTAGTCAATTGTTTCTTTTGTTAAAATAACTTCATAACAAGCCTCACCTTGTAGTATTTTCTACCATATGCTTCTTCTTTCAATCTATAAACTCACTTATTTTGTAGTGTTTTTTTGTCATCTGACAATTATTCTAAATTGTATGTTTGATTTGACATTAGTTACTATATCTCATCTCCATGGGAAACTTTTACTTCTTTGAATTTTCAACTCAAGTGGCCTCATCATATCACTCTGGTTCACCACTATTATAGCAGTTTATAGTACAAAGGACAATACCTTTGTATTGATTGTGTGATTATTTTAGACCTCCTCACTTTTCCAGCAAGTGTCTGAGAAACTTTTTGTGCTTCATCAGATTCAAGATCTTTTCTTTCTCCATCTTCATGATGACCAGTATCATTTATATTAACATATTTGGCGAGGTTTTCAGAAGTAATCGATGACAATCTTGAGTTCTATTTTTTTTCTTGTACATTTCCATGTTATTGAAAGTGAAATCTTTATTTTGGTAATCCCATAATTTGTAATCAAATTCATAAGATACCGAATGAAAGAGCACTTGACAGATTTTGAATCAAGCTTACCCGTGAATCCTGCATCAAACATCAACATATGATGAACAATCAAAAAATTTCAGGTGAGATAAATTTACCTCTTTATCACTAAGTTTTTTCAGATAAGCCTTCATTTAAAGATATCCACAGACCAAGATTTATTAAATAAACTGCAGTATTCACTATTTTTTGTCTAAAGCTACTTTGACAAGCCTGCATACAATCTCATACTCCCAACATGCTTTGTGATCGTCTTATTCATGCGCTCAGTAACATTACCATACGGTGATGTTCTTGGAACAGTCAACTTATGTCTGATTCCTCTTGAAGCACAATAACTCTTGAACCTTTGATCACAATACTCGTCACCAATATTTGAATTGAGACACTTTAACTTCAAACCTATTTCATTCTCAACCATGACTTTTCACTTTTTAAATAAAAAATACAATTTAAAAAAGTACTCTCTGTGATCATCAATTAAATGACAAAATATTGAGAATCACTAATAAACGGAGTTGGAGTTGGACCTCATATATCAATATACACTAACTTCAGTTTTTTGGACTTCAACTTTGACCCATTTTTAGAGAAATTTATATTATTTCGCTTGTCATATACGCAATATTCAAAAAATCTAAATTTATAGACCTTAAAGCATAAAGTTTATTCTTAGAAATGAGCGATTTCGTACCTTTCTCACTCATATGGTTAAGTCTGTGATGCTAAAGGAATGAGAACTCTAATGGATTCAGATCTCTCATTAATTAGGTAAAGGGTGTCTTCAATGCTGCATCAAGCCATCACCAATTCTCCTTTGGCCTCCTTTCACAAAATGCCTGTGAAAGTAGTCGCATACCATGACATTGCAAGCTGACTCACAGAAATCAAATTTCTCTTCAAACATGGAATGTTTATCTTCATTAAGCTTCCAAACTGATCCATTTGGCAACCTGATATTAATATCATCATTTCCTACAATATTGCAGGTCTTATTATCTCCAAAATGCACCTTCCCTAGATTATCTTTAGTGTACTTTTTAACCACCTCTTTGTGTGGCAAGCATGAAAAGAGACACCTAAATCCACTATATACGATTCAGTACTAATTAGGGGTAAAATAATGTGTCATCTTGGATTTCATCTTTGGAGACTTTTGTAGAAAGTTTTCTATTTGGACATCCACCACCAACCTCTTTAAAGCTTTGCAGTCTTTTCTAAATTAACATGTCTGTTTTTTCTCTCCATAACCAAGACTTTCCTCTTTTAGACTTGAATCTTTCTTTGTCTATGGATCCAGATTCCTTCCTTTAGTATCAACATTCAAATCATAATTGAATTTTGACCTCTAGTTTTCTTGTGAACTTCTTCATTCAGCACTAAGCCTACAATATCATCAAAGGTTAACTTCATGTTACTTGAAGAGTTACTACTGCAATAATTAGTCGATTCCAGCTATCTAGAGCAGTAGTACCATAACCTTGTCATCAAACTTGATGCCAACAAAGCACATCTCACTAGTTACTGTGTTAAAGTTTTTCAAGTGCTCAGGCACTGAGCTTCCATCCATCATCTTCATATCGAATGATCTCTTCATCAGAAAACTGTCTAAACTCGAAGGCCTCTCATACATTATTCTTGCTAGTGCAGTCATAAGATCAATGATAGTCTTCTCATTCATAATATTGAAAGAATAGATGAAAAAAGTGAAACTCGGATCGAATTTAGTGTTTTTCGATCAAGAATTTTCTATTCTTTCAAAGTCATCGATTCCAGCTTTTTGTTGATTTACATCCAATGGCAAACAAGTGCAAACAAGTTTTTTTTTTTTTTTTGATACTGTAAATATTTAATTTGCATTTTTCAGAAAGCAAAGTACGAACCATTGAACTTCTCTACCTTGTACCTTGCTTCTTCTATCATTACTCCCACTCGAACCAAAGATCTTAAAAAAATACCTCACTGTGATGTCACTTGTTGTGTAGTGAGATAGTGTGGAAACTAATTTGAGAGATAAGAAACAAAGTTTTGAACAAAAGTACACAATCAAGATATCACAAAACACCAAGATTAAACGTAGAAAACTCGAGAAAGGGAGAAAACTGAAGCGTCACACCACACTAAGAAATTCATTATGAAAAATGGGAGAATTGTAAAATTACACTACACTCGAGCTTCTTTACAGTTTGGAACTCGAGTTATTTTTCTTTTTTATCATAGAGCAGAACTTCGAAATCCAACTCTTTGATGCGGCAGACAGACAGACTTTCACAGCGAAGCCGAATACTTAAATTCTCGAACTGCGAAAGTAGTCGTTGGCCCCACTGGCACTAAGCGCCACTAGGCATTGGGACGCCCCAAGTTTCCACAATTAGGCTCCAAATATAACATAGGATTAATATTTTGCGAACTCCTTACTCAGTATGATGTGGTGTTGTGATAATCTGTTCAAGGAAATCTAATTATAAGGTTTCTATGTTTGTATTAAAGAAATTAAGATGGTCTTCAATTATTAGGAGACTGATTTGTTCCAGCTTTTTTATTTCTTCTCCTAGGTGGATCAAATAAAGCTGGCTGGAATGTTTTTAGGAGAGCTGTCCAGTTTAACCTGGACTCTTATATTCAAAGTTTAAAGTTGAAAGAAAATCAAAATTTTTCCTTTGTTCTCTATCCTTTTGAACTGTTAAATGCAAAACTTGTGCATAACTGATACAATTGGCGTTAATCATGTTTTTGTTAACTAATTTCACATGATACCCTGGGATTAACTGTATCTTTTGATTTTTTATGACATGTGCTTGGTGCGTTGCTAAGAGGTATTTGTGGTGCTTCAGTAGATGTTTACTCGGCACGTAAGAACACTGTTCGTATGCACTATCTGTCTATTATAATGATGAAATGGTGCATCCTGCAGTTCCCTAGAAAGTATATGCAAATTATGATGCTATGCGCTCTCCCCCCGAAAAATGCTGATGCTATTTTGTATCTTAGACTGTTGTTTATTATATTGTTTTCCCTAAACATTTCTCATTACTTAAAGTTACAATGTGAATACTAATGTATATTAAACATCAAAGAAATATTGCAACTCTGGGCAAACAAATTGGTTAAAACTGTTTAATTTCGTCATGAGTTATACGTTTTGATCTTGTAACCGATGAATAAGAATCTCTTTGCATGCTCTATTTTTTCCTTATAAATATGCTGATGTATGTCCAGAACATTAAAGAATCTACTGCGTTCCCTGCATGTCACATTTATCATATTTAGAGTGAGATTTCTGAGTTATGGAGAGGCTATGACAATATAGTTAAAGTAGCTGTTAAGGAGTTCTTTCGTTTTAAAGAAAAGAATAGCTTGCTTACCTGTTGCAGGTGAGGGACTATGTAATTTTTATCTGTTTTTGTTTCCTGCTTATAATTTGTTGGATGCTGTCCATCTCATGACCAGTTATATTGTGTCCTATTTCGATGTATCTGTAAGATTGGTTTGCTTGTGAAATTACTTATTTTTCCTTGTTTACCATGCTCGTTCAAATATTGGTTATATGTTTTCAGGTTCAAAAGTTTTTTTCAGCTAGTGGCAGCCATAAGGTATTATATTCTCTACATAATTTTTTTCTTCGTTGATAAACTATTGACTCTCTTGCTTTTTTCTCCTTGACTCTTCATCGTAGGAGTTTCTTGCACAGTTTGTCTTCTTGTTCTTTTTTTTTAATTCACTTTGCCTCCTGGAAGAACTAACTTGGGCATGGTGGCACTTTAAACATGATTATTAGATAGTGTTGTGTATTCATAGTTAAATTTCTCGACTGAATGCTCTAAGATAATTAATATGACATATTTTTATTGTACATATTTTACTTGTAAAACTAAAGATAAAAAGCATTAGGCTTATTGAGGTATCAATTTGATCACTATGTTTTTGTTTTGTTTGTTTTGGAGTAAAGTAGATGCATTTTTATACCGGATTTACTCCGAAAACAACAAATACAATTATTATTGCTGGAAATTAAAAGAAATACAGCAAGGGTTCATAAATTGAAAATAAAATGACACGATTGTAAACAATGCCCTATGTTAAGAGCGAAGGTGATGAACTCTGACTGGATAGCTGGTGTGGAGTGGTCGAAGAGGTTATGGCAGCAAGGAAGGGAGGGGGCAGAGAGGAAAGAGCAATAAGGTTGGCACTGGGAGGGATAGGCGGCAATAGGGAAGTGGTAAGAAGGGCCGGGCAGCAGTGGAGGTGAGGTAAGAGGGGTTTGGGCGGCAGAAGGGAAGCCACAAGACGGTTTGGCATCAGTATGGGAGTTGCAGTCTGAGCCTAGCGGCACATGGAAGTCATAGATGGGTTATGGCGGCATTAGAGGAGATGCGAGTTGAGCTTAGCGGCAACGAGGAAGCCGCAGATGGGTTCTGTTGGCAGTTAGGAAGATGTGAGTTGAGCTTAGCAGTAAGAGGGCAGCCGCAAGTGGGTTCCATCTGTAGCAAGGACGAGCAGGAGGAGGGGACAGCGCAAAAGAGATGAGATAACCACTACCTCGGAGTAGGATATAGCCGGAGCACCACCCATTCTCAGATACAGCCCTACAAAGGAAATGCTGCTGAACGACAGGAATCTGAAAACAGAAGATCAAAAACTGAACCTTAAGCAAGCAAATAACAAATATATAATAGTTGATGGAATAGTAATGGGTGGCCCCTCCCCTTTGGGCGGCAAGCAGGTACCCTTTGCCGGAAAATCAAATAGGAAAGAGACAGGGATCGGGCAGCAAACAGAATAGGAAGGGAGAGGTAGCGAGCAGCAACAGAGTAGGGAGGCTGGAGCGGCTCTCTCCTGAACCGGTCAGTTCAGGCATTAAGCTTTGTTTCACATTTGTTGCATGTGAGTTTCTTTTCAATCATCTATGAAATTAATTAAAAATGGGGAAAAGTAGAATCTGAGGATAACTTTTTGGATTCACAAAAAAATTATGGACCCGTCATGTCACTTCATGTGGTCATTGCCCTGTCTCGCTTGACATGTTGTGGATCGTGCTCTCCCTTATGCTTCAATCTCTCTTTGTGTGGTGCTGGTCATGTGGCATCTCTGTTGTGGCAAACCTTCGAGTATTGGCTCTTGAACTAATGCCTTCTCCAGCCTCAATGCCTAGGGTGATGGTGTTGCTGCTTCAACTTAGATCACTGTTCGTTAACTTCCATTCGTTATCTTGTGTGCGGCGTCATGCATCATTGCTTCTACTGGTTTTAAATCTTCCCTGGTATCCATTGCATCTATTTTGGCGCTAGTTATTTCTCTGTCTTGCTTTGTATGTGGCCACTCCTACACCTTGGATTGACCATTATGGAGTCTTTCTCAACTTGTGCTTAGAGGAATGGTCCTTTTGTTCAGCGTGTATTTTCTCAATTGCCTACGTATCTCAGTGAGATCCTATCTCAAATCATCACATGCTACCATCATCTTATCAAGCTAAACCATCACTCATTTTTCATGATGAATGGATCTATTAGTTGGCATTTTTTTCCTCCCTTGTTGGTAAGTTCTTATGTTTGCCACAATTTGGTGATTCTTCATAGATTCATTCTGATTTGTGATTGTTAAGGGATTACTCAATTGGGTTTATTTGTTTCTTTTCACGTTCTTATTAAGATTTTCCTAGAAATTTCTTGTTTTCTTCCTGTTGCTGGCAGTTTCTTGTTGTAGCCGACTCTTTTTTTCCCAGAGGCTTTCCCTGTTGATGTTTTTTGTCTCCCATAGACCGATTTTTCTCCTGCGGTGCTCCCAACCTGCTGTTTTTTTCCCTGCTCCGGGCTTTCGCTATTGTCGGCTTCTGTCTCCCTTGGACGATTTTTTTCACCAACAGACGGCTGTCTCCCATCTATTGACTGTTAGTTGTCGCCAGCTCCTTTCCAGCCGCGAGAGGTCACTGACGCCAGCCAGATTCAGCTTCATCTCTCTGCAGAACCGCCACTTGACTTGCCAGCGGTCTTTTTCAATCACTGAGGTCCTTGCCGCCGGCTTGCTCTCTCTGGCTAGTGCTTCCAGATTTTTGTTTTTGGTGGTGGTGGG